TTATTTCCCTAGCCTCTTCAAGCTTTACATATGATAGTTGAATTCATTTGGTTTGAGTGTTTGGGTTACTCTAACAGAGAGGATACATAAGTTGGTACACTCACTAAGTATGCAACCTTAGTTTTTACAACGACTGAGTATTTGGTTTACTCTCATAGAGAGGATACATAAGTTGGTACACTCACTAAGGTTTTTGTTCCTAAGATGCACATGCTTGGAACTTCTTAGTCTACAGAGATGAATACACTATGGTACATTTGACTCTAGAACCTTTATCTCTGGTTTCGTTGTTTTGTGGGCTTGATATCACTTTTTTTCGAATTCAAAAGCCAACCTTTCAAGGTTTGAGATAGTGATATATATATTGTCTTGTAGAATTTGCCCGTTGCAAGTGTCCGTTGAAGCAGATATAGTCGTTCATGACTAGTTTGATCTTTCATTTAATGCTCAAGATCTTGCATTAAATGTTGATTCTCGTTTATAGACCTTGCGTGAAGTCTTCTTTTCCTTGTTAGTAGTTGTGTCTAAATTTCGCAGAGACCTAGGAACCTTTTTGTCCTTTTCCGATCATGTAGCTGTAGAGTGTTGTCCTTATCTGAAAAAGTGTTGTACTTTTTCTGACACATGCATGCTTTTGCTATTGCGTTCTTTTCTTCTTCTTCTTCTTCTTCTTCTTCTCTTCCTTTGATCACGCGTTTACGTTAAGAGCATTTGAGTGATTGTAGATGATGCCTTGATTTGTCTTTTGAGACTTGATTCTTTAATTTCTTGCGTGACAGTTTTCGTCTGCGTCTGTTAGTCCTATGCATCTCAATCTTGATCTCCGTCTGAGCATCTAAGTTTAATGCTTTGACTTTTCTTTTGATCTGGTCAACAATGTGAATGGACAAACTTTGTTTTTGTCTGAAATATCTTTTAGTCTGTGCTGTCCTTCGTCTTATGCGTTGTTGACTTTCTTTTGACTCATGCTCCGTCTTAAGTTATTTATGTTGCACTAGAGGTCTTGACACACCTTTTTCTGATACTTGACTTCCTTGGGATCATTTTCCTTCTTGTGTTTGGTTTGGCCTCGTCTATGGTCTTGTTTTGACCTTTCAGCCTGATGCCTTCTTTTTTAGTGTATGAAGTGGCTCTTGTTCCATTCTTCACAACTTGCCTGTACTTATGTTTTTCTGAAACACTAACACGCTTGTTAGAAATAACAACATGTATTATATTTGGCTCATTCAAAACCTTACTGGGAATTGCTTCGTCTGACTCAACACAATGTATAAGGTGATTTTATAATTATCCGTCAATTTGAATTAATGAAATGAAGTATCAAATGATTTTCAAATTTTCTAAAAATTTGCAGATTTGATCTATGCATTAAGAAATTTAAATTGAACGGTTAGATCGTTGAAATTTGATGTAGAATATGAGTTATTGAACGCAATAAATCTAGGTAGATTTACTATTGGAGTAAAAAGATCTCTTTATATATATATATATATATATATATATAAGGGAGGATCTTATAACCCATGAAGTGACTTTATAAAGTTACTCCACACTCAGTTTTTTATTTTCTTTTAATCTAATGGTGCAAAATCAATTTTAAATATTACTAAACTTTAGTAAAATGTATTAACCTTCTCTTTATTTACAATAATTTTTCTTGATTGGCATAAATTAGTCTCAATAATCAATTTATCCTTTTTTCTTATGCTTTTCTTTCTTTGTTTACATTTCTCCTTCTTTGCATATCAAAAAGGAAAAATAAAACAAAATAATCAAATTTTTTTCACAAACATGATTGTGTGATCCCACTATAATATTACAAAATTAGAGCGACAATCAACTCCAATTACTGTAATAATTGACTACTTGGTTGGATTATAGTTAATTTATTTTTTAATTCTTTTAGTCAAAAGGTGATTTTTCAACTCAATTATACTTTATTATTAATGGTTTTCTCGGGTAAAAATCAAAGAAAAAAATCATAAACAATTTTATTAAGATTCTTTTGATGTTTCCGGGCTGTGTGGGACATCCCAAATTTGCAATCAAATTCTCTCTTACAAATGTTGTTTTTGAGATATATTCAACTCTATCAAGCTTGGACAAACAGGCATGCTCGTTCTCAACTATACTTCCATGGAATTATGAAGGAGTGCAACTTTGCCAACACTATTTATCTGTTACCAAATAAATTTTTTTATCCATTAAAATTATAATCACAAAATCAAAGTTTGAATTTAAGATTATTTGCATACTATCTTAATTATCTTTTGATTATAAGACAGTTGATTATATTTATCAAAGTTATATTTTGATTTTGATGATATGTACCAAATTAAGGATTATTTGCATTAAGTAGCCTCTCTTATTATGTTTGATGTACACTCTTTTTCAATTGATGAATAAAGGTGATACTTTCCTTTACTTGTCTTTAATTTTTTTTTTCTGCATTGTTATTCATTCTATACATAAAAATAAAGAGTGGCGTACGAAAACCCCTAAAAATTGGTAATTATAACTTATAAATTGTATCACTAGTTTAGTTATAGCTTGTTATTGGTCTATGAAACTAATCATTTAGTAGTAGTTATATTGTTGTATGCTTGTGTCTTAGTAAAGTGAATGTATATGTTATACTTTAAATGTCTAAGAATGAAGGTTGTGTTCCATGCTAAGCACATGACAATATAATTTATGATACAGATTAAAGCTTTGTTTCAAAAATGAGAAAAGATAAATTAATTATGAGAATAATTTATGGCAATTAAAAAAATTATTGTAAATAAAAAGAAAGCTAATAAATTTTATCAAATTTGAATAATATTTAGAATCGATTTGACACCATTAAATTAAAAGAGAATAAAAATTTGAAATATGAAGATAAAATTATTCTATAAATTATTTGATCCTTTTCATATATATATATATATATATATATATATATAATTATATGGAAGTTTGATAGGTTATATTTATCTCTTATAGTTAAAATAATTTATCCCTACCCAATAAAATGTATCAACCATTTAATTTATCTCTTTTGAACTGAACCATCCTATCATTATATATATGAGTGACTATCTAGAGTAAAATATTCTAAAATCCTCTCTTTGTTCAAATATATTTTATAAAATAATCAATCATAGACACACTTATAAAATACTGGTGAAGTATTTTGTGAGTGTAATTTAATTATTTACTATTAAATTTTAATATTTGTGTAAAAGAATTAATTGTATTCGCGATAATACATTTGTATAACTTAGTTACTCACATGTCCTGTTATCAAATCATTTAAATTTTTAACATGAAATTGTAATGTCAACTAATACAAATTGTAATGTCCTAAAAAAGTAAAAATTGTAAATGATGTGACTAATTACATATTAATTATAACATTTAAAGTTTAGTCGTAACTTTTTCTTAATGTAAACAATAGAAATTATCATTTAATATAATGAGAAATTAAGAGAATTCATATCAACATGCATTGTAATTTTTTGTGAAAACAATTAATTATTTTTTTTCCTTTCCATATTTTCACGCTATTTTTCATTTATTGTGAGAAAAAATATTCTTCTTTAATTTGCTTAGTGTCTTCAAGATCAATTGCATCTAATTTTTTTTTCACAATTAGATAAATAAGTATACAAATATATAAATGAAACATATTTAGTATGAAAAATGTGATTTTCTTTGAGAAAATAAAGATTTTTCTTACAAGTTGCAATGTTAATATGTTACCACTCAACGTCACATGATTTAATGTATAAAAGTGAAATATAAATGGTCATAACTTAAAAAGAATGTAGATAAACAGATATATTTCTTATTCGTGAACCAAATAGATTATATATAACTCAAGTTAAATTTGCTTACCTCAATTTTTATGTCAAATTCAACTTCACACATATCTCAAGCCAGTTCATAAATCAAAGATATTAAAGTATTAAACTATGCATATATCAAATTAAACTTAAAAATTTCTAATTCAAGTTCAATTTTTAATATCGAATCTTGAAACAATTTCATGTTAACTCAGTTCATTACTAACTCCTTGTACCCAACCATGTTAGCAAACACGTTGAAGATTAGTGACATAAATGAGTCAAACTTTGACAGAATAATATAATAATATATCAGTATCAAATAATTAAGAAAGGAGCATGGTCGGTTCAAAGATGATGTAAAGAAAAGGAAAATAAAAAAGAAAAGAGAAGATCTAACAACAACAACAACACGACCATTGACCTTTTACTTTGAATTTTCCATTTCCCTAAACCCCTCTAGAAACATTGGTCGTAAAGTGCAATGTAGACGTACTAACCAAGTCCAATATTTCACATTTATTTAGCAATAGTATTGTTTTCCACAAATTATTAGATACCGGTTCACATCACTAACTATAGATTTTTTAATCGATTATTATATTTCATATATTTAAGTATTTTAATGTTAAAAAATTAATATTTAAAAAACTACTATTTTTTGTTCTATGATGATAGTAATTTTAACATTTGAAAAATATTTTAATTTTTTTAATAAATTATTCTAACTACCCCAATTAAAAAGAATGTATCTATAGTGATGAAAAATTATTTTACTAAAATTATATAAAAGAATAATACATTTCAAGTGTGTTTGAAAAAGTTGTCAAAATTAAATTATTTTAATAATTAATTATATGAATAATCAATTATAATTAGGATGACATTTTGTGTAAATAAATTTGCTGAAAAATGATTTCAAGATGTTTAATTTTGTTTAAATATGATAAGTTTAATTTTTTTTTAAAAAGAAATAATCATAAATTTTTAAAATTATAAAAATAATATATTTTTATAAAAATACTTACAAATTTAAACTGTTGTCCTGAATATATAAAAACTTGAAATTATTGTGAGACAGAAAGATGATGAAAATGACCAAATAATTTGTTGTTGTTGTTATCCTGTGATGACGGGTATAACAATAGAGAGAAGAGAGTGAGGTTAGTGTATTTTCCCAAGAAGACATATAGAAAAGTGATATAATCGCTCTGCCTCGCTGTCTCTGTCTTTGACCGAACCCAAAGAAGAGGAAGAAGCCTTAGCAGCTTTCGGCGCTCTTTTTCTTTCCCTTCACCCTCTTCTTTGCTTCCATTTCCTCATATCATATTCATCTCTGTGTCCCTATGACACACTAGTACTTGTTGTTTTGTGTACCCATTATTACCCACACACCCCAAATACAATTAATATCGTAATCCATTATTTTATTATTATTACCTTAAACTAAACAAAGATAAATTATTGTTTTTTTAATGTTGTGTTTTTTATACTAGAGTCATGTACCTTCCTGGTTTCTGCTCTCTATGCAATGAACAAAGCAACTGAAGTAGTTGCTTTTTAGCTTCAAGTTCAACAATCTCTCAACCAACGCATCAGTCAAATCTAGCGGCATATCACAAAGAAAAGAAAAGAATACCCTTTGCTTGTTTTCAGGTAAACTCTATTTTTCTGTTGCATTCTTAATTCTTGTTCTCTCTCTTTCTCTCTCTCTCTCTCTAAAGATCCTTCCTTTTCTTGGTAATTTGAGATGGGTTGGTCTGTTTTTTTTGGCTTAAAAGATCTCTGTAATTGATGTCGCACTTGCATATTCAGATCGAGATGTGGGTGTGTGTGTGATCTTGCATTTGATGTTTGTACCATTTTGGCATGTGTTATCTTTCATGGGTTGATTGGACTTGCATGCTAATGCTTTTAATAGTATTTGAGCTGCTGAGTTTTCTTGCTCAGTGTGAAGGAATTTGTTTATTTCTGTTTAGGTAGGGTGCCTAGTTGACCGATAAGATTAAGAAAATCAAGAAAGGAAAAAAAATGAGAGTATGCCCAAATGAATTCATTACTTTCTTTTTATGGCTAATTGGGGAGTTTTAGCTTGTAAGAGATTTGTTACATTTTGGGGAACCAAAAAAGCACTCGCTAAGACAACGCAAAATAATGGGTCATGTAAATTTCTTTCACAATCCTGGGTATCTTAATTACCTATAACCCTGTCCTCAACAATGAGGTTGCCTGTGAGTTGTATCTGATTGTTGGGCTTAGCCATATTTGGTGAAATTCTGGGTACATTGATGTATACCTTGGACCTTTGTGTCATTCATACTTTGTTCATATGTGATCACTAAATTGTTCCCCAGTTGTGAAAGATTGGAGAATCTCCTTTTTGTCCATTCAAAATAGCATTTTGGGAAAATAACTAATTGAAAATAGTCCTCAACTACAAATGTAATGTGGCAAATTGAGTGGAATATCAACTTATGAAATGACTTAAGATCTTCCTTTGCAGGGATCAGGGGTTCTGTTTGTCTTGTTTTGGCTCCTGACCTTATCCTAGTTTTATTTTGTTAGGTGAAATCAAGTCCATTAATGCATGTACGCATTTGAGAAGGGCATTGAAACACTGATTTCTGGTGGAGCTTGACTAGTCATCTTCTATGCTGTCTTGTGTAACAGAAAATATGGGCTTACTCTGTAGCAGAAATCGTCGTTACAATGATGCTGATGCAGAAGAAAATGCACAGGTCCATAATAGTCAATAAAGTACATACTTTTTATGTTCTTAATCTTGAAGTGTTACATGGCCTTTAATTTTACCAATGGGTGCATTTGCAGGCTGCAGAGATTGAAAGAAGAATTGAGTTAGAAACAAAGGCCGAAAAGCATATTCAGAGACTTCTACTTCTTGGTACCTTTTATTTGGGCAGTTTTGTTATATATCTGTTTTATATTCTTCACTAATACATTTTAAAGTTACAGTTTTTCAATTTAAGTGACTTATGGAGGCACTTGGAATATAGCATTGTATAAGTGGTGATAATGCTCCCTGGATTTTAAGGAATAGCAAATATTGTTTGTGTGTAGTTTCTGCTGGTGATTGGAGCATTTTCAAAAGCACTTGGTTGCCAGATGTTGATACTATTACTTGTGTATTATTGCCATATTCATTTAATTGAATCATATATGTAATAATATTTTAATTTCTTGTGTGGTTGATTTTGTTATTTTTCTTCTGGACTTGTTTAACTGTGTCAATTTTCCTGTTGTTTAGGAGCTGGAGAGTCAGGGAAGTCCACAATATTTAAGCAGGTAAGAAAATGTATTGTTGTCCATGTTTTTAGCATTGTATATACTTGATAGATTGTTTATATTTTTTTATTTGTCTATAATATGCAGATAAAACTTTTGTTTCAAACTGGCTTTGACGAGGCAGAACTAAAAAGCTACTTACCAGTCATTCATGCTAATGTGTATCAGACAATAAAAGTACGCAATACTTGAAAGGGTGTGTTATTATTTTTTCTCTTTAAAATACAGAGTTTGCAGTGTCCACTGTTTATAGTTTGAAAAAGTTTTTTTGTGAATCGAGTTTCATTGGAGCTAGCTGAGTAAAATGTAATCCTTAATATGCACTTGATGTGATTAAACAGTTACTGCATGATGGATCAAAGGAGTTTGCCCAGAATGATGTTGATTTCACAAAGTATGCTATATCCAATGAAAATAAGGTAGTTTACTGTTTTTCATCTCTATTATTCGCTACTATGGTATGATCAATAATTTTAGGATGCAGTATCTTGTTAAACAATTTTTTAAAATTTTTTTTATGAGGAACTATAATCAATTATACACAGGCTTCTTATTTTTTAGTGGAATTCTGTTTCTTTGTCAAATTATCAAAGAATTTATTAGAAATATAATATAAAACCAGCCATCTGTCTTTACCTAATAGCTTAAGCTTTTGGGATAGTCGGTTCATGAGATGATATCAAAGTCTCTGACGAAATCATCCCCATTCTTCAGATATAAAGTTGAATTTTTGGCACATGGTAGTTGGACCTGTGCATTATCCATACTTCAAGCCCAAATGGCTATTGCATGAGGAGCTGTGTTAAAAATATAATAAAAAACTATTCTCCTGTCTGCATTCAACATCTCAAGCTTTTGGGACAGTTGGTTCATGACAGAATTTTTGTTGAAGTTTAAATGAAGCTTTCTTAATTTTTCTGGCAGGAAATCGGGGAAAAGTTATCAGAAATTGGAGGCAGGCTGGATTACCCATATCTCACCAAGGAACTTGCACAGGAAATTGAGAATCTGTGGAAGGATCCTGCTATTCAGGTGGCTAGATGGCATACTTTGGCTTCTTTTACTTAAATCTTGCTATGTAGTTATCTTCTTGCATCAGTTAGTTAGTATTGTGAACCAGATATTTTACATTCTGTAGGAGACATATGTCCGTGGTAGTGAGCTTCAAATTCCAGATTGTACTGATTATTTCATGGAAAATTTGCAAAGGCTATCTGACACAAATTATGTTCCAACAAAGGTAGCCAAAATCTATCATACTTTTACATGGATTTTAAAGCTAATTAGTAATTTCATTTTTATCTTCCCTTGGTACATTGCGGATCTGATTTATTTCTTTTTGGTTGGTGTGGCTTTTTTTCCTTATATGTTTCAGGTTTGAGGGCCCAATTATTATTATTATTTTTCTTTTCTTGCTTTTGTTGGTGTACCATTTATTAGGCATGGTTCATAACCCTTGACACTTTATTTTATTACCAATAAAAATAAAAATAAAGTGATTTAAAAAGGGCATGAAAAAATTTATATTCTTCTGATTTGAAAAAGATCAAGTGATAAAGTGAAGCACTCTTAATCTTTAAAGTAATTAGTGGTAGTATGTAACTCTGTCCTTATTGGCCTTATTTTGCTTTTGTCCTTAAATGAACTTATGTTTTATTTTGCTTCTTGTTGGTATACTATTTTTGTGATACTATATTCTGCAAAAGTAACCTGGTGCCCATATGACAGACTAAATAGAGGATATATCTTGGAAGAAGTTCAATTAATTTTTATTTTCTCTTTGCAGTCATAGACCCTTAAATTTGAAATGGTTGTATGTTCATGAATGTCATAATTCCTCACTCTGATTCACAACTGCAGGAGGATGTTTTGTATGCAAGAGTGCGTACCACTGGTGTTGTAGAGATTCAGTTCAGGTAAACATGCTGATTGTCTTACTGAAATGATACAAAGAAATGCTTATTACTGTCCTTGTTATTCTAAAGTCAGAATGAAGATATATAGCCTGTTTCTTTTTTGTTTTTTTTTTTCTTGGGGGAGGGGTTAAGTTAAAGGATTCTTGGTAATTGAAAGAGGTAGCCGGAGACAAGAGGCAGATTTGTTGATTAGTCTTGAACAACTGTGTTATTTACGGTAATATCATTTCTCTATATATGAATACAAGACAAGATTAGGATAAGAAATGCATTAGAGAAAGTATGGTAGCATCTGTTGGGGCAAAGATGGTAGAATCGTTTGTAAGATGATTTGGTCATGTAAGAAGAAGACCAATAGAAGCATGGTAAGAAGAGTGGATAACATGGGGATAATATCTTGAGGAAAGCCAATAAAAGCTTTAAATGAAACCATAAAGACAGACTTGGATCTAAATGACTTTTTTTGAAAACTTGTTGAGTAGAATGGCTACATTTGATCCATGTAACTACCCCACTTAGTGGAAAGTGACTTTTTGTTGTTCTCTTTCTCTCTCTATAAATTTCACAATATCCTCCCAAGCGGACATAAACAACTAGATTAGATTTCTGTATTTTCTGAGTACTATTACTTGGAAAATGTCAGAATGATGGACCTTAACTACTTAAGTAATACATAAATTATGGCATTTATTCTCTTCCCTTCTGTTATTGCTGTTTGGTCTTTTAGCTATAGTTGTTAGCAAGAGTAATATAGCTGCCTATGTTAAAGACAAGGAGCTGCCCACAAGATGGAGTTACCTGTAGATATATTTGAGGAAATGGTTGCTCATTAGATCAAGCTGTCCCTAGATAGTTGCCTATCCTAGGTGGAAAAGTCTATTGGTGAGGTGGAACTGCCTTAGATTAGTGTTTTTAGCCAATGATGTATTATTATAATTTGGTCTTAAGAATTGAGTTAATCCTACATTTGAATATGAATAATTTCTTATTATTGAATCTGAATGAGTACAATAAAATAAATAGGCATAAAATATAATCAATCCCTAAAGTTTAGGGATTTAGATAAAACTGACTAAGGAAACTAAACTAGAACTTAGGAGAAGATAAACTAGTATATCTAAACAGAATTATCTTACCACTCTCCCTCAAGCTGGAGCATATATATCATATGCATCTAGCTTGTTACATATATATGTTATCCTAGGACCTCGTAAAGATTTAGTAAAGATATCTGCAAGTTGATTCTTGGAGCAAACTGAGGAGGTCTTGATGATACCGGAGAGAATCTTTTCTCTGATGAAATGGCAGTCAACCTCTATATGCTTTGTTCTCTCATGAAAAACTGGATTAGAGGAGAGGTATAAAGCTGACTGGTTATCACAAACTAGTTCCATATGACCAACCTTGCAAAACTGCAACTCTTGAATTAAGAATTTTAGCCACAAGAGCTCACATGTGGTGTGAGCCATAGCACGATATTCTGCTTCTGTACTTGATCGTGCAACAACACTTTGCTTTTTACTCTTCCATGAGACAAGATTACCACCCATGAAGACACAATAGCCTGATGTTGACCGCCTATCACTTGCATCACCTGCCCAATCTGCATCTGAATATCCAACAATGTTTGTATGTCCTCTATCATTGTAAACAAGTCCTTTTCCTGGTGATCTTTTGATGTATCTAAGGATTCGAACAACTGCAAGCCAATGACTCTCACAGGGAGAGTTAAGAAACTGACTTACAACACTGACAGGAAAGGATATATCAGGTCTGGTCATGGTGAGATAATTCAATTTTCCCACTAATCTCCGATATCTCCCTGGGTCAGAATAAGGCTCCCCCTGATTAGGCATAAGCTTCACATTAGGATCCATGGGAGTGTCAACTGGCTTACAATCTGTAAGTCCGGTCTCTTCTAGAATATCAAGGGCATATTTTCTCTGAGAAATAGCAATACCGGACTTTGACTGAGCGACCTCAATCCCGAGGAAATAACGTAGGGGACCTAAATCCTTAGTTTGAAAGTGTTTAAATAAGTGTTGCTTCAGTGCCTTGATGCCCTCCTGATCATCACCTGTAATCACAATATCATCTACATAAACAACAAGATAGATAAATCTATGTGTCGATGAGCGTCTAAAGAAGACAGAGTGGTCTGTCTCGCAGCGGATCATTCCAAATTCCTGTATAACTTTGCTAAACCGACCAAACCAAGCACGAGGTGATTGTTTGAGGCCATACAAGGACTTTTGTAATTTACATACAAGACCAGACCCCCCTTGAGCAACAAACCCAGGAGGTTGATCCATATAAATCTCCTCCTCCAAATCACCATGTAAGAAGGCATTTTTGATGTCTAATTGAAACAAAGGCCAATGCCTCATAGCAGCCATAGCTAAGAAGAGACGAACTGAGGCCATCTTCGCAACTGGAGAGAAGGTGTCGCTGTAATCCAAACCATATACTTGCGTGTATCCCTTAGCCACAAGACGAGCTTTCAATCTATCCACCTGTCCATCAGGGCCCACTTTAACATTAAATACCCACCGACAACCAACAACAGATTTTCCAGGCGGAGGTGGGACAAGTACCCAAGTGTGGTTGGAGTCTAAAGCTGTCATCTCATCAATCATTGCTTGTCGCCATCCTGGATGGGTTAAGGCCTCCTGTACTGTCTTGGGAATGGTAATAGAGAAAATAGCAGAGACAAAAGCATAATAGGTAGGAGACAAACGATGATATGAAAGAAAGTTATAAATAGGATGAGGATTACAAGTAGAACGACTACCTTTACGAAGAGCAATGGGCAAGTCAACTGAGGTAGGTGGGGCCGGAGTAGGTGAGGAGACTGAAGCAGGAGTAGAATCACATGGCTCAATTGAAGAATCATTGGGAGGAACAACAGTATGTGATCGACGCTCATAGGTTATCCCAAATCGGTGTAGAGGATGGTCAGACCCTGGTAGTGCGGGAGGATCTGGTGCCTCTAAAGTAGCAGGTGTGGTAGGAGGCACACTATGATCAAAATGAGGAATAGGCAATACCTGAGAGAGGAGATCTGAGTCAACCGGAGAAACATCTGTGGCAATAAAATATGGTGTATCTTCAAAGAAAGTGACATCTGCACTGGTGTAAAATCGATGCGTAGCAGGAGAGTAACAACGGTACCCCTTTTGGACACGGGAGTATCCTAAGAACACACATTTGATGGCCCGAGCAGACAACTTAGCACGTCCTGAGAAAAGATCATGGACAAAACAAGTACAACCAAAGACACGAGGATGAACAGAGTAAAGGGGATCCAATGGGTATAATAGGGAATGAGGTACTTGATCATTCAAGACAGACGATGGCATTCGATTTATTAAATACCCTGCAGTGAGGACAGCATCGCCCCACAACTTTGGGGGTGCATTGGCATTCAATAAAAGAGTACGAGCAGTGTCCACAATATGTCTATGTTTTCGCTCAGCTACACCATTTTGTTGAGGTGTATGAGGGCAACTAGATTGATGTAGAATGCCATGGGAAGCCATAAATGATTTGAAGCAATCTGAAAAATATTCTTTAGCATTATCACTTCGTAAAATCCGAATTACTTTGCCAAATTGAGTTTTGATCTCCGAATAGAAACTTAGGAAAATATTGAATAACTCAGAACGATTTTTCATTAAAAATATCCAAGTACATCTAGAAAAATCATCAATAAAGGTGACGTAATACCTATGTCCTAAAAGAGAAGGAATGCGACTAGGACCCCAAACATCAGAATGAATAACATCAAAAGGAGACATAGCTCGACTATTAATACTATTAGGAAAAGAAGCTCTAACATGCTTCCCTAATTGACACGACTCACACTCTAAGGACTCCAACCGTGAGAGATGAGGTACCATTTTCTTTAATTTATTCAAGCTTGGATGACCCAGGCGACGATGAATTAAACCAGGAGACTCAATAGATGCACATATGGTAGAGGTAGAAGGCTGAAGGTAGTAGAGACCATGTGATTCAGATCCGGCTCCAATCGTCTGTCCCGTACTCCGGTCCTGTATCAAGAAAGAATCAGAAGTGAAGGTTATGACACAGTTTAGTGACCGAGTCAACTTACTTATAGAAATCAAATTAAAGGGACATCCAGGAACTAGTAAAACAGATTTTAATGGTAGTGATGGGAGAGGTGATATTTGGCCAATACCAGTGGCTTGGACTTTTGACCCATCTGCAAGAGTGATATGGTGTGGAGTTCTAGGTGATGATAGGTTAGGGAAAAGGGAGACATTACCAGTTAGGTGATCAGAAGCACCGGAGTCCAAAACCCAAGGTCCAATAGACGTAGAATGAGAGAGACAGACTGTAGAATTACCAGTATGAGCAACAGTGATGGAAGAAGAGGCCTGTTTAGTTGCCTTGAATTGAAGATACTCTTGGTAATCATCGGTAGATAATGTGATTGGATGATTGCCCTCCGGTTCAATCTTGAGCTCTGGAGCTGAAGTTGGAGATTGAGCCACATTAGCTGTCTTGCTTGGAAAGCCATGCAAGGAATAACACCTATCTCGTGTATGTCCATCTCTCTGACAGTAGGTACAATGGAGGTTTCCTCTACCCCCTTTACCGCGACCACGACCTCGACCACGCCCTCGACTTCCACGGTCAGCTGTGCTAGAGATAAAAGCAGAGGACTCAGATTCTGTGTGAGGATCTGCCTCTGGTGAAGGGACCCGAATCAATCGATCTATGAGTTCTTCTACTGTAGGAATGACAGGATTTGTCAAGATTTGATCTCGAACAGATCCGTAATCTTTGTGGAGTCCTTGAAGGATAAACACCATGAACATATTATCAAGTTTGTTTATTATTTGTTGAGGATCATCACTAACCAACATTAGCTTGAGCTCATCAATAGTGGATTGAGCACGATTCAAATACGTTGGCAAATCATTATCAACCATACGAAGAGTTGCCAGACCATGAACAGACTCGTATATTCTTTGGATATCATTGGCATAGACATTTCGAGCCTTCTTCCAAATATCATAGCATGTCTTGTACGGACGAAAATGCACCATTAATTTAGGCTCAATGGACTGCCACAATAGAGATACAAGTTGATAATCTGTCCGTTGCCATTCATCTCTCACCTCTTTATCAACTTCAGACGCCCTTTTAGTAAGATGATCATAAAGACCCTGACCTAAAAACCACATTTCAACCGCAGTGGACCAATCCAAATAATTTTTACCATTAAGCTTTTCAGATGTAATAGTAGGTGATCCAGAAAAGGCAAAGGAGACCAGCCCCCTTTTGGAAGATTCAATTTTTGGGTTCTCCTTGGGAATCTCTGCCATGAGGAGAAAAAGAAGAAAAACACCAAACAATCAACCACGAACAGAAACCAAACAGCCACAGAACTTCAAGACAGCAACCAAACAACACCAAACGACCACGAAACTCCGAGGCCGCAACCAAACGACCTCCAACAGACCACCTAGAGTGTGACCCACTACCTGAAAAGGGTCAAAACGAGAAGAGGGAGGGCCGACGAGTCCAACGGAGGAAACCGCGTCGCAAACGGAGGCTGGTAGGGCGGCGCGTGAAGCCCACGCGCCGGCGAGCTTCCTCAACGAGAACCGCGCGTGGGAGCGCGTGAGGCGGCGGATGACGGTGGATCGCGACGGGGAGGCCGATCGGCGACCTCTGAGTGTGCAGGCGGTGTCAACTCCGGCAACCGCGAACAAAACTCGAAAACCCTAGAAACCCTAGATGTTGGCTGCTGGATTAGGGTTCCTGGACCAGAGTGCTCTGGTACCAACTTGAATATGAATAATTTCTTATTATTGAATCTGAATGAGTACAATAAAATAAATAGGCATAAAATATAATCAATCCCTAAAGTTTAGGGATTTAGATAAAACTGACTAAGGAAACTAAACTTGAACTTAGGAGAAGATAAACTAGTATATCTAAACAGAATTATCTTAACACCTACAAAATTGGCTTGTAAGGTGAGGAGTGAGGACTATCCAAGTTTTATAAACTTTACCTAAGCCATATCTCTAATTGATGTGAAACTAAACCGCCTTGATGCTTCAATTAAGGTAGCCCCAAAGGGGCTGCAACTAAGGCAAGCTAGAGGTAACCGCAATAAGGTGGTTTTCCAACAGTTACCATAATAGGATCAAAGTCTAGCAGCAAGAGTTGTCTCTTGTGGTTTTGGCTAACTAGAAAAGAGGTATTGCTAGAGTTTCCTAATTTCTCTTTGAACCCACTATCCTAAAGCTTAAACATTAGGCAAAGACACAAGAATAATTTTATATTACATTTCTAGCATCGCCTCATGCGAGGATCAGTTTGGCTTAAAGCGTACATAATGCAGAAGTTCACCTATGTTGTGATGAAATTCAACTTCATCAAGGTGGCTTTGGTACCATGTCACGAACCAACTATTCCAAAAGTTTAAGCTGTTGGTGAAGACACACAAATGGTTATATTATATATTATGTACATTACATCTTTAAGAGTCTGCTTCTTGGAGATTGAGTGGTCCAAGATTTTCAAACTCAAGATTCAATGTGAATTAATGGAGCTTCCATAGACTTTTTATTATCTAAGACAAAAATAATATTCAAAAATAGTGTTCATCCACAATGTATTCTACATCAAATACACCTAGTCTTCACCTTGAATAACTTGGGATATGCACATACTCCTTTCAATAGTGAATGAGAAACTAAATAGCAGCATTGAAATTGCTAGAACATAACATAAATTTTGGAGTTTGAAACAGAACTCTACTTTTTGTCTCTCCTATAGGTCATGATTCTAAGCTCTCTGTTAGATGAATCATTCCTTTGTAACGTGTTGATGAACATGGGGCTTATTTTGTAGTTGAGCTTTGGTCAATTTGCAGAAAAGGATGTGATTCTTGATTGATTTGTGTGATTGAGGGTTGACAAAGAAAGATTAAGTTTCATGAAAGGTGATATCAATGGATAAATGTAACCAATATATTATAGACGCATTTGACCGCTGTTGAGTCTAACTTACGATGATAAAGACTATGAGAATGGACAAATGTAACACACCAAACACACAACATGGGAGACTCAATAGTAGGGGAGAAGAAGGGAAGAATGACATGTGTTCAACTAGATTAATTCCTTGAAAAACACGAGTAACCTATTAATGAGGTAGGTGGTAGTTAGACAACTTCTCCCCAATAAACATTAGAAATGTCATTTGAAAGAGTAAAGCTTTGACAACCTCATTCTGTTGGGGGTATTGATACTAGTTAGCTCACGATAATACCCTCATCCATAACAAACTTATAAAATTCTAGATTAACATATTCAGAACCATTGTCTGACCAAATTATTTTAATTGACTTACCAAATTGGTTTTTGACAAAACAAAGAAAGTTGATATTTGAAAAATCTCATATTTGTGTTTCACAATGCCTGTTCAAGTCACACAAATACAATCATCAATGAAAGTTACAAACCATCTAATCCTAGAATAAGATTTATTAACAAGTCCCATAAGTTAAAATGGGCAAGATCAAAAGGAACGACCATTTATTATTACTAGGTAAAAAAGATGCATGATGGTGCTTAATACATGACAAATATCACAATTGAAGAACTTAATAGATTCCTTTGAAAACAAATGCGAAAATGTATATTTAAGTAAATTTAACAGACTGTCCAAAATGCTTATGGTGAAGCCAAATTTGTGAAGCAGCCCAAATGTTTGAGATTGCTTGTTGAGTTGAAGACATCTCCTTTATTCTAATACTATCATCAATCTTCTTATGTTGCAAGAAGTAAAACCCACTTGTTTTTAACAACTAAAATTGTCTTTCTTGAGGCAAGGTCTTGAGTGACTCAATGAAAATGGTTACGAAGCAATTCAGGTATTGAGGGAACCTATGTATGAAAATGAGATTATTAGCTAATTTATGGAAATGAAGAACATTGTATAGGGATAGAGATGATTGGAGTTGGATGTTGCCAGATCCAATAATAGGGACATGGTCTTCATTAGCAATTGTAAGTTGCTTCTCAAGTGTTTTGGTGTATGTTATAAAGTTTGTGTGGTTTGTTGCCCAAAAATTAAGAATCCATATGCTTCGAAACAATCTCAAAAGCACAGCAAACAAGAAAAAGTGGTGGAAGTTTATGTAGATCTAGGACACACTGCATGGATTTGGGTGACCCCACCCCCTAGAATTAACTGGGAAGGCTCCAACTAGCCTATCTGGACAGGTTCAACTGGTGCATGGTATCATAGTCAATCATATAGAGTGGCCTACATGCATTAGGAAGAGTGATAACATGCGGGTTGGAGACTTACCTAGAAACTTCCTGTGTCATGGTTGACCTGATCATTGGGTTTGGAAGGCGACAGTGGCAAAGAGGGTGACGATAATAGCCGGCAAGAGTGGAGCAATGGAAACAACACTCCCAAGATCAGGGTCTCTAATACCAAGTTTAAATGAAATGATTTTGTATTAATTGTATATTTTGTACGTTCATTAATTTCCTTTATAGGGTAAATGGCTATGTATAAAAAAGGAAATAACAATAATAAGGAAACAGAGAAACAAACACCATTTTTTTGACCTGCTAAATATCTATGATATTCACAACACTCTCTAGAAATGATTTGTAATGTAAGTTAACTAGATCTTTGTACCTGGATGGCAAACTTCTATGGTTCTAAGTTGAATTTATGAGTTAGAAGTTTGACAACAAAGGAATGGTTGAGCTTTGCTTTTTTTTTTACATGATGTGTTTCAATGGTTTATGATTTGCTACTGTTGAGTTTTTCTTCTCTTCTTAGTGATGACTTCTTGTTAAAATAGGTTGTAGTTTCTTCTCTTCTGTCTGGTTGTTTGGATCTATCTTAAGTTTCCAGTGAAGGTTATTGAGTTTTGTATTGAATTGAAGGTTCTATTGTTCACGGGAACATGAATACCCTACATTCGTTGACATGAGGGGTTGGTGTTCTTTAAGGTTTAGCTTCATGGCTAGTGTTAAGAAATATTATAATATTTGCAGTTATCTAAACTATCTTGATATGTATAGGTTTTAGATTATTGTTAGTGAGCTTCGAGCTGTACTAGTAGTGCTAGTATTCAACCTAATTCTTAGTCTTAATATAAGTATTAAGTTAAGATGATGTATAACATTAATTATATTTTCAATCTATTACTTTTAGCTGTTGCAACTAACTCTCATTTCTTTCCTAATCCCAAACCTCTAATCTTTTAACAATTGTCATTCTTGCATTGTCCTCACATTTAATTGCTGTAATTGGTCTTCATTGTTTATGATTCTATGTTATTCTTTTATTGTTATCCTGACTACATGATAAATAGTTAAAAGCAATAAAGAATTGGTTGCATTACTTTTTTTCTAAATGATATTTGTCATGCTTGTCGTAGTTGTATGTGAGTGATTGACTTTGATATCAAGCCACCTTTTTTTATTGTGCTCTTGTTACTTGATATGTCTATTGTCACTTTACGTTTTTCTTGATCATGAATATAGAGTTGAACTACTCAACATATATTGGTTTGTCTTTGCTATTTTGACAGCCCTGTTGGGGAAAATAAGAAAAGTGGTGAAGTCTATAGACTCTTTGATGTTGGCGGACAGAGAAATGAGAGGAGGAAATGGATCCATTTGTTTGAAGGAGTGTCGGCTGTAATATTCTGTGCTGCAATTAGCGAGTATGGTCTACTATTTGACTCTATTTTAATATGATGTTAAGTCTCAAATACGTTTATGAAGTTTTTGCATATAGATGTGCTTTGATTTTATTTCATACCAAATCAAAAGTTTAAACATACAATGTCTAGTTGAAGTTTTTGTTTGAGGGGGGGCAGGAAGATGGATCATATATTGTTAGATACTATTGGATATTATTACTTTCTGTTTTTCACTTCTTCAGCAGTTAATTTTATACAGGTTTTACTCAAAAGTGAAGGTTGAGCTCCTTGTAGTCTTGCCGCTGTGTATGTTTAGTTTAGTTACTAATAATAATGAAAATGTTGGAATACATAAATATTGTTGTGCTAGGACATTTGAGTGGATTAATTAACTCTTGTATCCTTTCAATGTTGCTGGCAAGAGAGCGTCATAATTATAAAATGTTCGAAGCTAAAATTGTATTGAATCACACTTGCCTTCAGGTATGATCAAACACTTTTTGAGGATGAAAACAGAAACAGAATGATGGAGACTAAGGAACTTTTCGAGTGGGTCCTGAAGCAACCGTGTTTTGAGGTTTATTTTTTATAGTCTTTATTAACTTTAACTTCGACTACAATTATGTGAAAAATTCTTATGTCAGCTTTTTCTTTCTCTGGTTCTGTTATAAGATACCTGCTTCTGAAAGCTTTATATTTTTCACAGTTAAGATTTCTTCTCATCTCAGAAAATAATAATGTCCTTCTCTTTTCCATACACAGAAAACATCCTTCATGTTATTCTTAAACAAGTTTGACATATTTGAGAAGAAGATCCTGAAAGTAAGAACCATCTTAATATTGTACATTTTATCCTTGCTAAAGAGGTTATCATAATTTCAGTCTAATGTATTTTCATTGTGCAGGTTCCACTTAATGTATGTGAGTGGTTCAAAGATTACCAACCGGTTTCAACAGGGAAACAAGAGATTGAGCATGCATATGAGTAAGCAACTTCTTTATATTGCTGAGACATATAATAGAATAAAGGACCCTGCTGAAGGGAAAAATAGTTGATCCTGGCCAATAGAGGCCTTCCAAATTCAGACATATTCTTGCTTTGTTCTATATAACTGTTTCTATTTGCATAACAAGCCAGAAGAATCTTGGTTGTGTTCCCATCAGAAAACATATGTTGATGCATGTTTATAACATAGTAAGCAAGTTTGATTTGAGAAATTTGTATAGGAACATTGAAAACAACTTTTTATTGTTTTCATTAATTCTTATACAAACTTTTGAAAAGAGGAAAGAAAATTGAAAATAAGGTGACATTTTTAAATAAATGTAAAATTAACATGTAAAAACTGAATGTCTTTTCAATCCAAATGATCCGTCCATTACTATAAAGTTGAAATTCCAAGTACTTGATTGATTTCTCATAACCAACACAATTAATTCACTTGGATAATCTATTTTTCATTTTTCAGGTTTGTAAAGAAAAAATTTGAGGAATCATATTTCCAGAGCACTGCACCGGATCGCGTAGACCGAGTCTTTAAGATCTACCGGACCACTGCTCTTGATCAGAAGGTAGTGAAGAAGACTTTCAAGCTTGTTGATGAGACATTGAGGCGAAGAAATCTCTTAGAGGCTGGCATGTTATGAACCATATGTTATAAAAGGGATAACAATATTTTTACATTGAAGAGGTGATCAGATTTTGGGTATACTGGGGGTCAGGTATACTACTACTACATATTAAATCGATTTGTTGATTTTTATTTCAAGTTAAATCTTGTTGAATGAGTGGGTGGAGAAGAAGACCCTCTCTTGTGGTTAATCTCCACATCCATCTTCAAAGGGCAAATTTGTTACTCAAGTTTCGAGATTTCATATCATGATTTGTGATAATGTTTTTATAGATTGAAAGTCACTAATCATATGATATATTTCATATTTCATGTTAGTGATTATATTTTGTCTCAGTGGTGCTGTGTTGGTGTGCATGCACACGTGTAAAAATAATTTGGAGACGTGCCATGTGTCATATGCATGCTTTGTTCTGAATTCAAACCTATATTCATTTGCTTTGAATACTGATACTAGAGTGTTTTTAACATATTATTTACATGTACACGTTTTGTTTTGGAATCATTACCGTTGGCTATTATGGACTTGTGCTTCCGTGCTGAACTTTTGTTTCCTAATACAAACGGAAATGGTTTATGATGGGAAGAAGTCTATTTCATTTTATCTTAAAATGCAATTTTTTTTCTTCCTTTTTTAGGGGTATGTTATGGAATCCAAATAAGTATTCGCTTCATACTTTTATAACTTCTTTCGTTGTATAAGAGAAAAATATAAGTTTCCAAATAAGTATTATTTTAATTTTTAATATAATATTAATTATTGTTTTTCATTTATAAAATTATTATTGGTATTGCATTGTTTACAACATAGAAAATGAATGAAATTTTGTAAAATTATTATCTTTTATCTATTTATTAATTACTAGTCTTAACTTGAAAAAAATATTAATTGGCATATGAACAAGGTTCAGAGTGATTTTTTTTCTTCTAAAAATGTGCTTATCATCTTAGTCTTTTTTTTACTTCCTTTTAATCAGTACATTCTAATTTATTATATATATATATAAAAAAAGGATGTTCATCATCTTAATCTTTTAACTAGTACATTTAAATTAAATGTATAAGAACTATTAGCATGTTTAGTGGTGGGGTTAGAATAGTATATGAAAGGTTTTAGGTTTCAACTGTTATAAGAAAATGTTATATTTTTCTAAATACCAACAAATATATTAATGTAATGTTTAAGATTTAGGATTTAAGGTTTTGATTAGTTTGGTTTGAATTGGATTTGTAAAAAAAAAAAAAATTGATTTAAACAAAACCAAAATTTAGTTTGGATTAATCGATCTTCTTGAAAAAATATTTTATTTTTTAAAACATAATATATACATTATTTCATCCTAAGACTTAATAAAATTTTATTATTAAAAGAGTGTAAATAACATTCAAGTATAAGCAAAAAAAAGTAATGTAAAAAATATGAAATTAAAATAGTTAAACAAAGTATAATATAACACTCTAATATTTGAAATTAAAGTATTTTAATATTTTAAATTAAGTGTTGAATAATTAATAAAATAATAATATTATAAAATATATTAATATTATAAAAGAACTATTGCAATTCGGTCAAATTGTTAGTGTAGTATAGTATTATTAATAAAATCGTAATATTATAAAATAATATTAAGATATTAATTATAATAATTAAAATAATAATAATAATAATTTTAATTATTTTGATTCTCAAATCATTAAATCTGTAAAATACAAATATGTGATCTGAATAAATTAAAATAAGATTTATTTGATTTTGTTCAAATTTAATTCAATTAAGAAAAAATCAAACAAATTTAATTAATTTAATTTAAATTATTAATTTTATCATATCATCCAAACCAACGAACACACTAATGAATATAAATATGGTAATAAATTATATAATTACATGAATATAATATTATAGATTTACTTGATTTTATTCAAATTTGATTTGATTATTAAAAACAAACAAAATTAATTTAATTTAAATTGTTGATTTTATCATATCATTCAAATCTAATAAATAATATAGTTATAAATTACTATGATCTATTCTTACATGAATGATATATATAATGGGTTGGTATCATCTATTTTTACTATAGAAAACATTATTTATCAATCTTATAAAAAAATTTCCTAATGGATCACCTATTTTGTTCAAGTAAACCCACTTATAATTATTCTCTCCCAATTTAAAATTTTCAAAACAGAAATTAGATATAAGTCACATCTGTCTAATTAAAGAAAAAAAAAAGCACAATAAGTATTTCCAGAAAGTATCTAGAAAGAAGCAAGTACCAACCGACCTCAACCGACGCCGTTAATAGACCATTCACTTCACGTGATTGAAAAAGATTCCAAAGGTCATAAACGTCATTCACGCGTTCTCATAGCCCAAAACGGTGGGGTCATTCAACCTCCTGAACACTAAAACGCAGGCGGCGCGACCCAAAACACTTTTCCACTTTTCCAGTTTTCCAAATTTGCCCACAAAGTATTGCTTTGAATCCCCCTTGACTTCTTCTATTTCCCTGTCCAAACTCCAAAGCATATTCTCCAATTCCCTTTTCCTTTCTTTCTCAATTCTCACCTTTCCATCGCAACGACAACGCCAAAAGCCCAATCGCATCGCAATAAATCCTTGGACCCGAAACCAAACAAGACCTTACTCGTTCTCTTCTTCTCCCTTCCGCTTTCTCATTCCCTCGTTTTCCTTTCGCTCGAAGCTGAAACAAAGGAAAAACCACCGATCGCGTGATGAGTAACGATTGGATTTGGCTACCGTCGCTGTATTCCGATCCCGACGCCTTCTCCTATTTGGATCCCTTCGTGCACCGCACTTTCGCCGGCTCGCACTTCCTGCATTCGCTCCTGGACAATTCCAGAAGCTTCGCGCTCGAGGAGGCGTTCGGACACGTGTCGCGATTCGCCGGCGCGTTGCTCATGTGGCTCTCGCGCGCGTCCGGTTCCAATGTCGCGCGCTCCTTGCGCGGTTCTCCTCCTCCTCCTACTACTTCGTTTGGTACCGTGCAGCTTAAGGCTGTGTCGTCGAATGTGCGCGTGTTCGGGTTTCCGGTAGGGCCGAAGAGGAAGTCGCGTTCGCCTCTGCGGTTGGGGAAGATTTCGAGTTTGGCGGTGCGGGTGATTTGGAGAGAGGTCGAGAGGTTTAAGTCGTTTCCCGTTCTGTCGCTCGCTGCTGCGTTGGTGCCGCCGTTTCAAAACTTGTATGTCGCACTTGGAAACTAAGATGTTGATTTCATTGAGTTTTTTGGGATATTTTTTTATGTCTAATGATGAGAAAGGTCGGTTGAATTGAATAGAATATAATGGAGTAAAATTAGAAACTAACTAGGATGCACTGACGCGAATCCAATCACACATTGTTGGAAGCTTGATAACTTTTAGAGTAATTGCATTAAAAGTTATTCCTCAATGATTTCTGATTAGTTGATGTCTTGATGATGGTGATTGTGCATGAAAATTAAACTCAAGTAATATATCATTGGTGTTGAGTTCGAGCAGTTGTATTAATTATTCAGATGGAGAGTTTTGTTATCTATAATGTTTTACTCGGCTTGAACAAGATTGTCTCTAATGGTGGATGTCTATAGTTTATACAAAAAATAATATATGCATATCCCTAAAATGGGGAGAGAAAAATAAGAGTGTTGGAGGAATGGAAAGTAAAAGAGTCTATCATGTTCCATTGTGTTCCTTTCAACTTTGAGAATTTTGAAACATGGTAATTGGTGGGGTGACATTCCATTTGCATTCCCTTACATTTTGTCTTTTTTCACCAATTTAAGCCTTGATTTGGTTTTTATGTCATTTTCTGATTTTGGGACATTTAAGTAATTTTTTTTATTATTATTAATTTTACATATAGGTCATCAAATGTACTAGGTAGCCCGTTGCAGAATCCTGATGTGAAAATGTATGGAGCCATTGACCAAATGTCTAAGGAGGTTGAAGGCCAAGGATGTCCGTTCCTATCGTTTATCGAGTTGAGCCAGACAAAACCTGCGGTGGAGCCTAAAACTGGCATTGAATTTCCTTTGGTTCTAGACAATATATTTGCTGGGGAGAAAAGTTACGGATTCAACTTTGAGGTTAATATTCTGTTTGCAAAATTATTTTCTGTTTTATTTGGCCTTCTGCTCTTTGTATGCTTGATTCCTGTGCTCCATGCAACTGTTTTTAAGTTTTATTTAAGATTCTGTTGCCAGATTCTTCGCATTATTGATGTCATGTAGTTAAAGCTTGTTGTCAAATACATAGTTGATTAGAAATTTAGCTAACTAGTTTGCTGGCGTGAGTTACCATGGAGCAAGAAGATGTACACATATATAGAGAATATAGTTTCTACTGGGTGGTAGAAAGAACAGTTGAGGCAACCAATGGAAATGTTTGGTAGGATAGCTTAGGAGCCTAAAATTTGAAGATCCATGTCTATGGAATAGTAATGAGCACCAAATTTTTGTAGTGAAGAACCGAAGATTCCAATGTTTTGTGGAAGGTTGTTCCTGAAAATACTTATAAGAGGGAATGACATGAAGAAAGTAGAAGATTTAAATAAAGGTTTGAGGGACAGGGTCCAAAGTGGCCATGGCTTTCTTCTTGGTGTTGGGTTGTTAAGTGTGTGTTTACAGTTTAGAAGGGGTATGTATATATAAGAGGATTATAATGGCCAAGGTGGTGCCTTCCAAGTCTATTTGTTTAGGCTTCTTAACCTGGCATGGTTGGGAGTTGTATTTGCAAGATGCAAATGCAAGTCCTTTGCTAAGTATAGCGGCATTAAGTTTGGATAAAATTATTCTTCTCTTATTTTTCAAGCCTAAGGGTACATATACCCGACACCCAACAAGGACCACTTATAAAGATGCTAAAGACTTAGTGGAGTTGCTCCTCTCCTAAAAAGTCTTCCATCCCACATGATAGCACATTTCCTGGAGAAATTCTAGAGGCATTGTCCAACACCTTATGCACCTTCATTGTCAAGGTTCTTTTGTGTGTCAGTGCTTCTTGCGTGAATGTAATTGTGTTGAAGCATCTTTGAATTGTGTAGAGGCACTCATTTTGTAAATTCTTGTAGAAATAGCTAGCAGTACTGGATAAGTGGTGGATAGGAGAAAAATTCAGGGAAGAAAGATGAGAGAAGAAAATAAAATTCAATGAAGGAGGAAAGTGTTTACGATGGAGGGCACAAAGTGACCTATATTCAAGTAGAGAAATAACTAATCATTTAACTTAATCACCATCATCTAACTAACCAAACTCAACCAACGAGCCATGTGATAGTACCTAACACAGAAACTAAACTACAAGAAATATAATTTTTATAAAATTTATTATGTAATATTATATATATATATATATATATATATATATTAATAAAACAAAAAACACTAACTGCAAAATACAACTATTTATGCTGTAATCGGAATTGGTTAACCAGAGAGAAAATCTAAAATTTAATGGTGATTTTTTTTGTATTAATTGAAGTTCATAACTTCAAAAAGTCTTAGACCTTTCTTTAGGGTATTCCTGTATCTCAATGGTTTACTTCCCAAGCAAAATGAATCATGCTAGAATTAACGTAAGTGAAAAAGAACTGAGTTTTAATTTGAAATGAGTTTCACACTAGGGTTATTGTTAGAGTTATCACTGGTCACCAATCAGTTGACATTTGGACTCCGTGGGACACCAATCAGATCATATTGTGATGCTAAACAATCCCAAAAGCAATTAATGATTCAGAAAAAAGGATAAAAATTGAACTAGAATTTTGAGAATTATTAAAATTGATTTGATGGAAGAGTCTGAGGGAAAATGAAGGGAAAATTTGGATACATATTTTGAGGAAATAAAAAATGTAGAAAGTAGAAAAGAAAATGATGAAGATGACACCGCTATACTTCCATGTTGGAAAACATGGTTGCTGAGAGAGAGAATTGTGAGAAGAAACTGAAATTTAGCTTACGACTTATTATTATGGTAATAACTGGCTACCAACCAACTAATTTCCAGTTAGTCAAACTCAACCACGAACCATATGTGGTGACTTATGGATGGGACAGGTAATTGGGTGCATGAGAAGTGTAAAATTATTTCTTAATTCCTTGCATTATTTGTAGTGATCCATGAATCATCAGTTGTGTGATCTGGTAACTTGTATTAGTTTCCACTTTCCGATTCCCTTTGAATTGAATTTATGAGCCTATATTACCTCATGATTTGTTTGAGATGCCATATTTACCTTATGTTTTTACATAAACTGATTAATTAAATCTGCTTCAGGTCCTGGTTGGAACAGGATCCCGAACCATGACAATTGTTAAAATCAAGTCACTGAAGGTCTATGCTTTTGGATTTTGTAAGTTTTCTTGTTTACTGAATTATTTTCTCTTTTGGAAGAGAGCAAGAATCGTTGTTGATGCTTCTTGTGTAATACTATTAGCAAAAGTGCCCATTTATCGAGTCACTCCTTTTTCAGATGCCCATATAGAATCATTATTAACAATTTATTGATCTTTAACAGATGTTCATCCATTCTCTCTCTGTGAGAAATTGGGGCCAAAATACGCATCAATTTCTGCCGATGAACTGAATAACCGTGATGACTTCTACAAGGATCTTCTCAGGTCTCAAACACTTTTTTTAATAAATCTGTAAAATTTTGAGGGAAAGATTTCTGGTATTGGTGATGACAATTAATCACATTGATTATTATAAAGTACATGTGAAAGTTGGTGGAGTTCTACGGAACATTATAAGTAATTAAGGGTGGAAGAGGTACTTTGTGCATTTATGTATTTTGTTTAAAAAATAAAAATAGAAATAATAGAGGTTAAATAATAGTGGGTGGTTTATTTATATATAAGTAGTCACCCACTCCAGTGGAGCAGTTTTTTAAGAGTGAAGTGCGTAGGTTCAGTTGAGAGGTAATTGTTATGTGTAAAATTATTAATCAAGAGTATAATTTTCCAGAAAAATTGGAGACCAAAAAAGTAGTTAATAAAAAAGGTATTCCTTTTATATATATAATAATATAATGATAATGATAATGACGATATGATATGATATGATATGATATGATATGATATATATATATATATATATATATATATATATATA